CTTGATGGCACGTGTGGCTGCTGTGCATGCTCATCTTAAAGAGGTGGGTATGCATAGTGGCTTTTGCTGTGTGGCTGCCTGGTGTATTGGGAGTGTGCTCCCCTACCCTCTATTTAAATTCGTCTTATTTGAATTTTCTAGACTTTTAACTTTCTAAATTCTGTGTATACATTCCATTGCTGCTTATATGATTGTCTGTAACAATCACGCTAAACAAGTACCAAGAGAGTTACTCAGCTTTTTAGTAGAATCGCATCATTGAATAAAATCTCGCATTCTGATTGGTTAACGAAGCGAGGATTTAGCGTGGAATTGCGAGTTGAAAACGAGGCTAAGTGATATTGTTTCGCATCTACGTAAGCATAATTTTAAGTAATGCTGTTTCCTTTTTTTACTCATTTTCATTCAGTTATGCGATTAAAGGAAAATCCGTTACTTCACTCGTGAATTCCGCATTTTAAAATTCACTTGAAAACCGATATCGCACTCATCGCCTCGCGATTCGTGCGATATCGGTTTTTTCGTGCAATTTAATGCAGAATTCCATCGTCAAGTAACGAATTTTCCTATAAAATCCCTTGGTAATACGGCGGAACGTAAAGGTTATCAAAGGAATTTAATTACATTTAGCAAGGTACAATCTGTGATTCCCTCCAATTCTAACCAAGTCGTATAAAAAAAACTTGCTCAAATTCCTGTTAATAATTTCAAGAGGCATAGCTGTTTTTAATTTGTTTGGCAGAGAAGCCCAATCGTTTCAAAGCTCTAAAATATAAGGCGCGTCTTCCCCGCAAGCAAAGAAACGGTTTCCTTCTGAGATATCACAAGAGAATTCTCTTGCCGGGATGTCATTATTGCTTCCTGTGTGCCCAAGAGTAATGATTCATATGGTAAGACGTCGTGAAGTCTTCAAGTCTGTCACTTGGTTATGATAATAGAAATGGCTTGTTACCAAAACTTCCTAAGCCGCAAACTGAACACAAAGTTCGAGAGCGATGAGCTCGAAGTGACCAATGGTGACCACTTGTAAACCCTTTTTTTTTTTAGTTTACAGGATCCCTAGGAATGGCTCAAAGTGGAATGATTCTTGTTCCTGTACTCTTGCTGTCCATCGCGAGTCTTGGTAAGATTTCCCAAAATACAAATCTGTAAATCAAAATCTTGAACATTTTAGAGTGTGGTAAACAGGGGGCAGGGGCCTGGGGCCTGGGAAGATTGGAGCCCAGAACGGAGGAGTATTTGGGGTGAAAAAGAAAAGAGAAGGAATAAGAAGGAATGCGACCAAAACCACGACATAACAAGAGACATACCCCAACGCTAGCACTATTAATGAAAACCCAAATCCCCGATGTTCTCCTCGTTAACGAATTCGTTTTCTTAATTTTTATCTCAGTGCAGTGCAGATCTGCAGAAATCTGACTCGGAGTCAGAAATCCAGTACCTTGCCACAACTGAAGACCTTCGGGAGCCGCTAGCCTGTGTTGCAGCCGGACGTGTCAACACAATCCCCGGTATACCGCGGTTTAGACTGTCTGCGACGCAGGCAAGGAGCCACATGGTCAGAAACAGTGCAAATAACAGCGGGTTATCCCAATGACCCGGGAAGGAAAACTCAATGTAGATACCGATGCAAACGTTCTTGCATAAGTTCGGCCAAATGGAAAGCCTTCATAGCCTTCGCATCACAAGTTACATCTGGTTACAGTTCACGTTGCCTTTGCTGGGGATACAAATTCCTACCCCTCGTTCGGGCCTGACGCTTCAATTGGAAGCGCCACTTACTTAAACGGGTGGTGAGTGGCGGAATTTTTCAGTAGTGAGATGACGCTGTAAGTGCCTAGACCCCAGTCTTCGCTGCTCCACAGATGTCGACAAGGCTTCTCCACTGCCAGCTTTTAAATAATCTAGTGTATCGATTTAAACGCAACAATTGATGCGTATAATAAATTTGTAATGATAATTGAGTTTGGAATTGATTCGATTTGTCTTTGTTCTGCATCACTCTTTAATTATTGAGGCTGCCTGTCAAGGTGACAACTGTTCAAGTCAAGAATAGAACAATGGTGTGTTATTTAACTAAATATCTGCGCTGGGAAAGGTTAAATAGGGATAAGGTGCGGACTAAAATGACTAATCTCCTGCCTGACTGACTGACTGACTGCCTGACTGACTGAGCGACCCAAAGACTGACTAGCCTAACGGCTAATGGACTCTTAAATTGATGGACTAACGGAATGCAAGACTTACTGACCGACTCAGTGATTGATTAATTGATATAGTTATCGATTGATTGACTGAATGATTCATTGGTTCGCCAGCTGGCTGACTGCACAAACGATTAACTGATTCGCTGACTGATTGATTGATTGATTGATTGATTGATTGCATAGTACCTTCAATGATTTAACAGTGTGTGTGTATGGGGGTGATAATTGATTGTTTGGAAGGGAGTGTCACACCTAGTTCTAATAGTTGTCACGAGCAAATTAACACTCGACTAGTTTAGAATAAAAATATTTTGTTGCCCAATGATGGTTTCGTTTTCTGTGTCTGCATTACTATGATCGCGGCGCGGGAAATTCGAGTTGAAATGAGGCCATCCCCCCCTGAGGGGTTTCTTTGTCAGTTAACTCCAGTACCCTGACCACTGCGTCACTTCAGGTAAAGAAACCACGTGCTGTCCATAACACAGATTTTCTACGCCTTGGTTTAATTAATCTAGCAGCACGCATAGCCCTCCTCACCAATGATGCGCAATCACGCGTCAACTGCAGCGGCGTAATCACGAGATATCCAATTTTACGGAACATTTTGAGCTCTCATCGGCTCCTTGTGATATTTCCCTTAGTTTTCGCTCTACCACGCATGTACATTCATTCATTCATCCTCATCCCCAGTAACAAGCATATGAACATGGCTGTCAGAGGAGATCATGTGACCACAGCGTCGCGAGCCCACCACTCTGGCCAGACGTAGTGCATTAGACTTTGTGTATAACACGGTACACGTAACAGGATTCATCTGAGACTTCGACTGATTGCTCCTCGTATCCATAAAATTGAGAATCTCTGCGTAAAACATAGAGTAGTGCGGGAGTTCGTAGAAAATGATGTTCTTGATTCCTCGAATGCGATACCTAGATAAAAATGTTAACATCAGTATGCATATTCTCCATACTGTTCTCTAGACATTTCCTCAGGCACCGACATGGAGATTTTGTTTAACAATCAAGAGCTTCTTTAGTTTGTGATCATTTCCTTTATTCTCGTGACCGCAATGAGTGATTCAAGGGCGATATTGTTAGGAGAAATTAGATGCTGGTCACTCTTAGGATCAACGTTGACACTATAACGAAGCTAGGAGATGAATGAAGAATAAAATAATATGGATAGTACGAATGAAGGCTGAAACAATGGTTAACGTAAGTTTGTGGATCGAAAGCAATCAGATCTCGTCTCATTTCATCCTCTGCACTCTGAGCTGCGTAAAGAAAACTGCAGAATAGGAACAGTGTAAGATTTTAATAGAGCAATTTAACCCTAAATGCGTCGCCCCCTCTTTCCAATAGTTACTCTTATATAATATTTTAACTTCATTTTATTTTATTTTATTTTGATTTTATTTTTTATTTTAATAATATATAACATATATTTTTTACAATTTTAAATTGAGTTTAGGAGCGTGCTGTTGTTACATAAGTCGCTCCCTCAATTTTAACACCTAACTTTTATGTTCATTTTACACACTCACTCCCACACTTGCATAAGCTTTGTTCCTTTTTTACCCACTGATCACGAGATTGCTCATCAGTGGAGTGGGAACCCATTTTCATGGGATCCCTTACATCAACACCAAGGGAAGCCACAAAGGTTGCTAGTGAAACTAGTGATAAATATATTTAATACTATACAAATACAAACAAACTGCAGAATAGGAACAGTGTAAGGGCGGGGTTATACAGCACTATACCTGTAGAAGAAGTAGAATCTTTCCGTAAACAAAAGAAACGGTCTCTTTCCTTGTTGAAAGTACGTCCTGGCTCTCTGTATCTCTTTCGGTTGTGAGTACCTGGTAGGAATGAGATGACCCTGATTGATTTGAAGATCTGCTGAAGCACTCTTCAATTTATTGTCTATAGTTATACGAAATCCCTTTGGTTCTTATGTCATTCGCTAAGTGATTGGTTCTAGAAAAACCCGCGCCGACTTCTCAACTAATCAGCTGCAAAACTAAACTCAGCAGATGTCAACAACTACAGGAAACATATAGACGACCTATTCATGACATTAACACAACAAGCGCAACGAATAGAACGACCTCACTTTACCGACAGTTCGAAACCGACCAATCACAACCGACGTCTCACAGCCAATCACAGGACAGCTACACTAACCAATGAATTCATACGAAGCAGACTTAGGACACTCCCTTAATATGGTATCACAGGTTACGGTAAGCCATCGTGGTTAGCACACTTTTAATGAAGACGGTATCGTTGTTTGTCTCACGATGTAGCCACTCCAATGTGGATTGCTACGAGCCTCTACTCTGACTCTAACGATGAATTTGGCTACAGGTCTAGAAACGCCAGTCGCCGCTGCTGCTGTTTACAGTCCTTCTAAGGACCACTCACCCGGACGATCAGACAACATGATTCTGAGAAAACATACTGGAAGGCCCACTATGGAAAAAAAATTTCGTCAAATGGAAAAGTCAACGTAAAACCAGCACTTACTCTGAAATCTGCGCACAATCTATGCCTTCACGTTTGAAGTAATTTCTCAGCCGCACAAAGTCAAAGTAAGATGGAACAAAGATGGCCGTGTGACCCATAAGGGAACCTTTGAAATCAGGTAAAACCTGAAAAATGATGGTAAAGAGGTCGAATTAGTTATCCGAGAGCTCACATGGAAGGCTGTGTACAGTGGCCTTGTGTTTAGTAAATATCATCGTGAACCTCTCGTCGCACTAATAAAGACGTGTGTAGGGATTTCATTCTCACAGGTGAACTACAGTTAAGGCAGTTGCAGAAAGTAAAGCCTGGAAAAAACTAAATTCGAGTTTGGACACAGTTTGTACTTGAGTTTTATTAACTACTAGCCTGTTCAAGGATCTCATCATCGGTTACGAGCGATTACGCCGAAAAATGGTAAAGATGAGGTTTGTTAGAGAAGGCTGACTTATTAGGAACTCGTCGGAGGCCGAAATACTTGTTACGATTTACCATCTGACATGTCGCCCTGATTAAACAAATAGCTACGATATTTGCAATGGAAGCTAAGACAGGCTTTCTGGCACCGTTACAGATAGTGCTGCAACTCTACCCAGTCTAAATGAATGATAGGTAAGGTGAAGAGGGATGCTTATTAGAGAGGGGGATTTATTGGCAACTTAAAGGTTTAGACAGGAGGGCTTAATTGAGAGGGGGTTATTGGACACTTCATATTCTAGACATGGGGCTTAGTAAAGAGGGGGGCCCTTGAAAATCGAAGTTTTAGGCAGGGGCTTGCTTGAGATAGGTGGGGCTTACTAGAAACTTGAGGATCTAGACGAGTAGTTAAATAGGGAGGGGGACTTCTCCAAAAAAAAAAAAAAAAAAAAAAAAAAAAAAAAAAGATCAGAGGAAGAAACCATTTCTCTAGGCTCCATAACGTGATAAAGACACGAGGGATGTTGGGAGAATTCAAGGAAAGCTTATAAATCACTAGCCGAAGAGGAGTGATTTAAAAGCTTCCGTGTTCTATTGCTTTTATGACATAACTGGTTACATGTGGGCTCTATAACCTTCTTAAGCAACAGCTTGGAAACTGAATTGACCAATCAGATGATGCGTTGTACTTTCATTGAAAAGGAAGCTGCCATATTTTAAAATATAACGGAAAGGAGAATCGTCCTTTCTAGTGGAACAAATATGTCGCAAAATAAAGTCGTGTTTTACCTTATTGATAAAGATTTGGAATCGTTTGTCCGCGGCTTCTGAGAAAGTTGAGCAATCAAAACGATGGAAGGCCTACAATTAAAAATTGGCATAACTCAATAATTGTCGCATAAACCGTTACACATTCATTGTTACATTACGACCATTGCACGAAGCTTTTATCCCCTTCATTTTCCTTCCCCATAACTAAACCCAACGAAGGCCTCATGAATGTGGCATCAGTAAATCGCATTTATGTTTTTATCTTAATCTTTAACATCTTGACGTTCTTAAACACTTTTTTTTTTTTACCTGTGGCACCTGGACAGCTACTTGGCAAATAGAGCCTGGCACATCAGTTGAACAAACTTTCACTTTGCCAGCAAAATGTGACTTCACTGTTAAGAAAAACATACGTACAACCTTCTACTGGTCCTCTACTGTACAAATATTTTTTCTTTATGACAAGTGACTTTCAACCAGCCACCCAACCTCCATCCTTACCCAAGGGAATTAACAAATCGACAGTGGTTTAGCGTGGTCTGTACTCTTACCGACAACGACATTCGTCATCGCAGTGGTCAAAATGTTTTTACCACAATGTGGATGTCATATAAAACGATTCTTTCAGTGCATGACAAGCTGAGTGACACGTTGACGCGAGCATTGTTGCCTGTACTCTTATCGACAACGGCAAATTGGCCAATCAGATTGCAACATTACTGCCAATTGTGGTAAAAAAGGGAAATGGTCTATCCTTAAAGGTACTTAATTGTAAACAAAGGATATTAAAACATTTTCTGTTAAACAGTGAGTTCATTTCAGGTGACACAAAACTGCTGAATATGAGGGTCTGTCTGTAATACTTTGACCTGCAAAGAAGATCAGCGCCATGTTATAAACAACTAAGCTGCCCTAATTACTGTCTCATATCAATTTAAGGGAAAAGGCCTGGTCAAGAGTGAAAAGAGTGAAGACAAGTGAAGTCAAGAGTGAGTCAAGAGTGAAGACAAACCGAAGTAGTGCTTGTCGACCATGGTAATCATTTATCTTCAACAGGTTTACGATTTAGAAGGAAATTTTCCAATTAACACATCAAGAGCTAAAGGACTTCCCGTCATTGACAATTAATTGTTGCTCAAAAGGGTTAAATTCTCATGCAAAATTTCCAGCAAATATTGAAGTTCACAAGATCAAAAAACGAGCTTTTTACATTTTGTTTGACTTACAATACTATTTGTCATACTGAGTAAAACGTCACTAGACCTGCAGAGATATAAGCCGTAATTTTTAACACACGATGTTTCAGCAGCGTCTTGTCAGAATTTCAAAATATTCCAGAATTAGTCAACAACACTTTTCATACTAGAGAAGGGGTCATCACGTATCCTTGATTTTTCCCCTCTCACCACGCCCTGGCACTCACCATCCATTCAGACACCACATTCTGACACGAGAAAAGTCGACATCATGTGACTCTTTTGGTTGCTGGTGAAGATGCTCGAAGATGTGCTGCAAATGATAAAAAGTGCAACTTCTGATGTGCCCATGTTTCCTCCATCATTTTACAAGGTAATACAACCAAAGACCTGTAATGCTTTTCAAAAGTGTTTTAATTTAAAACAAGGTAGCAGTAATTAATGTAAAACAAATATTTTTGCACATGTGCGATTGATCAAAACGCATCACGTGACCGATTGTCCTCCAACTGACACTTGGGGATATCCAAGGATATACCTCAAGTGATTTTCCCCAATTTTCAACCTTACGTCCAATACGGAAAACGCTGCACTCAAAATTTAACCAAGATGAGAACGTTGTGTGGTTGTTACAGAAGAAGGAACATGTTTTTTTTGTTCATAAACTCGTAGCAGAGAACACCGAAAGGTGACCATCCCACGTAATAAACGGTAAGCTATTCATAAACATTTTTCCCGCCCGTTGAAAATTATTTGAAGGATATGAAACACATTAGCCTCTAATTGGCGCGAGAGTCTGCTCGTCTATATATGTCTTTGAACATAATATGTTCCGGAAAACTGTTCATATCTCAGAACAGATAAATTAAACTTCCTTGGTTAAATATTCGTGCATATTTTCGCGCCAAATGAAGGCTCTTGTTTATTATTCAAGAGGTTAATTTTATCAAATGCATACCTGAACATGTTCCCAATTTTGCATGAGGAAGACATCTGTTTGATCAGCAATGATGACTTCAATAGATGAAAGGAAATCATATTCGTGGGACTTCTCTCTGTAAAGAGATATGCATGATAAATAAATGTACAATTTTACCTTTGTTGTAGCACATTGTGAAATTTACCATGAATACTAAATGAACTAAGTGGACTGCAATTTTGTCTGAACTCATGTGCGTGATTTCAAAATCTAACAGGTAACTGCGATTTTAGGAATACCCTGCATTTCCAATGATTGTCCTCAGTCCAAGAGGCGAAGCCACAATAATATCTGATGAGTAAAATTTGGCGTACAACTTCACACATTTTTTCATGACTGAGATTCCAATCCTAAAACAGTCATCAATGTTCCCAGCAAACATCTGTTTAAAATCTTCAGGCCTGTTTTCTTTTGAACTGCTTGCGTCTTCTGTTTCACCAAATTGCTCATAGAAACGTTTCTTGTTCATAACTTGACCCTGCAAAATTAGGACATAAGCAAATTCCTGTCTTTCAATCAGCCTTGCAGTAGGGTACATGATTATTGTGTATTATAAATGACCTTCATGTAAATATCACAAGTACTCTATTGCTTTTTACAGTAACTCTAACATTGCTTTTTACATTCTCTCTGATAGGTATGCAATTCTGTCACAAATGCTGAAATCTGATTGGCTACTCTACCCACCATCTATTACATGATTGATGGTGAGAAGAGTGAGTTTCCTGACAGTGTGCAATTAAAAAAAAAAAATTGAGGAAAAAGATGCAACCTTTCTTTTTGTTAGATTTAGAAGAAAAAGAAGCTTCATTTTACAACCATTAGAATTAGTTCATGAGCTCGAGATTTCTTTGCTTGATGATTGATTCCAGCCATGCACTCATAACCTATCATGCAATAGAAATCTCAAGCTCATAATTTGATTGTTCAATAGCAATCAGACATTGTCCTGTGCATAAATACAATGAGTTGGTTTGTTCAGGCTTAGGTCTCTATTTTTTTTTCTATGGATTATCAACTGAACCATTAATTAGTAGCACAATATAACTTCTAGCATTTTACTCACCCCTTCCTCTGGACAGATAAGATGCAGGATTACCTCCACCACCTTTAATGCCGCATCACGGAAAGGAACCAGGATCAAAATCTTGGGTCTTGTAAGTCCTTGATCACGGAGTTCACTGTAAAAGGAAGTTGCAATGAGCGAGAATGTCTGAATTATTAGCAACAGAGAATATAGTGACTAAAACAGGTAATGCAACAAGTCACCTAACTCTAGAGGGAACTATTGTCAGAACTGACACCAATCTGAGTGTTTTTTTTTCTTACAGGCAGTCAGAATTAAACAAGTTAAGTTATACTAACTATAAAATAGGAAAAGATACTGGACAATTGCAAGAAAAAAAAAGATTGAGGTCTGCACATTTTCCTAATCAAGACTGATTATCTGCTACGGCACTTGAACATTAGACAACACTTTGGTGGTTAAATGGGATGTTGGAGTTAAGCCTGGCATCCTGGGTTACCAGCAAGCAAGGGAGTAAGTTCTCAACAAAAATTCATTAACCAAGGGATGCCACTGGCCTGCCTCAATGCTTTCCTTCCCCTATGATAAAAATCTATCTCTCATTTATTCCCTGGTAGTCATGTTGCAACAGGAAATAAATTTATGATATGCAAGAAAGAAGACAGGTACCTTTGCTGAAATGACTTGGTAGAATGACTAATTTCTTACCCAATTTCATTCCCGTCTTTCCAGGACTGAACAATTTTTGCAGTATTCTTCGTCACTCTTGACCGTGTCCTATTGGGCAATATAAAAAATACTTCACTGTAATTTACTTGACATGTACTGCTTTTAGGAGAAGTGTTCCTCTGAGGGAATATGATTTTTATCTCAGCCATTTAACCTGCAGCATTGGAGATTTCAATGAGTAACCTGAGCAACAAAACATTTTCCACACGTGTTCAAAATTCACCAATGGCTGCTACTTTTTTGACCTTAATGCTTGATGCAAGAGTGATATTGTAAGGAGAAATTAGATGCTAAAGTTTATGAACCCCAACTTGTGGTTCATAAACTGCTTCAGCTCTGGGCCAGGTTGTTCAAAGGTGGGTTAAGATAACCCTGGGTTAGTGTGAAATTTGACTTCAGATCTGAAAGCTTCAAAATAAAATTAATTTTAATTCCATTTGCCTACAATTTGATGATTTAATGCTCTGAAAAGAATTAGAAAAGTTATCCTAAAAAGACTTTTGAACAGAGAAATATAGAAACCCGGACTAAAATTTAACCCTGGGTTAACGCTAATTGGCCTTCAAACTGGCCCTGGTTATGCAAATGAAAAAAAAACAACAACAATTATTCTAGTAAAAAATGCGTCTTGTGTTGCTCCTTAGGATTCCAAAAACTTCCCAAGAGATGGAGAGAAGATGGGAGACTTTTTCTTTGGCTAGGATGCTGGCTGAGTAAGATCCAAAATGCCGGGATCCAAATAAGAATTTGTGGCACAATGGAAGAAAATTTCAGATGGTTAGGTTTACTGTGATTCTCATATATCACAAACATGCCCAGGATGTAGCCACAGGCACAGCCTAGTACAATGTTGAGGCATTTTTGAACATTTATTGTTAAATCACAATCTGTACTAGGTGTTGACTCCCACTTCCCTACAAAGCTAAGGTGAGTTCAACTTCACAGGCAAGCCAGCAGTTCTCTCATCAACGAAAATATTTTATGTGAACATCATCTGCAGTGGCGGCAAAGAAACCTGTGACATAACAACTCCGTTTTTCTACCAACTATGTCCAACAGAAATTTTGCACCAGTCTGATTTGCATTTCACGCTGACCCATCACAGTTGTGCTTGGGACTGAGTAGAACAGATTGCCAACGTTATCAATTAGCACTAGGGACTATGTCCCAGGTATGTCTGTAGCATATGAGAATCAGGCTCTCTGCAGTGTTGTTTACAGGAATCTCTCAAGAGGTTTAAAGAGGGTAACAGGGTTTGTACCATTTTTCAGAAACAAATTTCAAGGACTTTCCTACAACTTAGATTGATTTTTCCAGGGCTCCAAATTTTTCCCTCAAACCCTTTCCTTCTCCAGATTCTAAAGTCAATTCTTTTACAGTCTACACACATTTCTTAGGATGTAAATTCTGAAAACTTTATTGCTTGAATCAGGCAGATTCCTGGGACTTTCCAGGACCTGTAGTCTTTTTCCAGGACTTTCCACTTCTAGAAAACATCAAAATAAAATTCCAGGACTTTCCAGGTTTTCCAGGACTTGTAGAAACTCTGGTTTAAGTTTGTAAAGAAACTGTGGTGCTGTGTCAGTGAAGGGTAAAACAAGGTCACATAGTTTTAGAAACTGCATTAACATCGTAAATTAGCCACCCTAAAGGGTTTCTAATGCTGACATTTCAAGCATTAGCAATTTGTCAGGTTGAGGTTTAAATTTCTTAAACCTAATAGAGGAAAAAACAAAAAAATTCCAAAATTGTTTACAATCTGTTTCTCGTGGCTTTCTCAGTGTAACATAAACTGTTATCATAAACTTTTTATGGCACCTTCCTACTGTTACAATGTTTCTTAGAAAAAAAAAAACAAGTGATAGGAAGGAGTCAAGTACTGTTAAATAAAACACTTGATGTAAGATAGCTTGATATTTATCCCCAACAGTACAAACTCTCATTGGTTACTTTGAGGTCACACAACAATGCAACTGTTTCTCGTCAAGTCTCTGAACTGGAAACACTGCAGGATCTATAATAAGAATGTAACAGCAAAATATATTGACTGATAACCTTCTAAAATATTCATGTTTATCTCTGCTTTGCCTTTGCTTTGAGAGACATTGAAGTTCCTCATTGAAAAAGTAAGTGGGAATTCCTCACAAGAAATTATGTGCTGATTTGTTTTAAGATTTAGAGTCATTCATGTTCATCTGAATGAATTTTGAGTTCAATGGGGTAGGATAAAGGTTGACTTCAGAGTTTTAGAGCTTGGTATCACCAATAATGCTCCCAAAACTGGAGTCCAACAAAACTGTAAAAAAGAAAAAAAAAACCAGCAAGAAAAGTTGCTGCACCAAGAACAAACAACGAAAAAATAGTGCTACATACATACATACATACATATATAGATACATTTTATTACATGGATTCATATTTACAGGTTTTCATGCACCCACAATTAGCTCAAGCACTATTTTAGGTGGGTGAAACTTAGTAAAACTATTACAAACAGTGCTAGCCTTCAATTAACTACCACAGTTCTTCAAAATTATTAAAACTTTGCAGCTTTTTCTCTAACATATTTACAAACTAGTCTTAGTTAACAAACAGCTTTCTCAAGTTAAACATCAAAGAGACAGTATGCTTACCACTAACATATTAAGTAAGACAACGTCAAATTCTTGTTCCAGACTAAGCTCTAGATTAATTGCTTAGTGCAGATGGTGCCACCATGATCACAGTTATTGCATTCTGACTTACTGTGCAACCCTTTCACTCCTCGAAGTCATTGACATATAACTTCTTTCCATAATATCCATGCATTTTCCAGCAAATTTGTAATCATAGAGATTACTCAAACTTGTAAGGAAATTGCTATCTTTATACAACACCAAATTCTCAAAACTCGTTTACCAAGAAATTTGTAGCAGCTATAGTGGACAATTAACAACCAGATCTTTGGAGTAAAAGGGCTGAGGCTTCCTCAACATCATAAAATTAATAAATAGAAATAATAAATTTAAATAATAAAGAAATAACTAAACCTTGATTATCTTGTATGCCCTTGTAAAGCCAAGGATGGCTTTTGATTCCCTTAGCTCTTAAAAACGCTGCTTAAAAAAAAAGCTGAAGACATCAAAAGTATTTGGAAAAGTTCCTTAAACTGTTTCACTACCTAAAGTGACCTGTTGATGAATTCTCTTAACCACATTAGGCACTTGAATAAAAAGAAAATTGTTGTCCAGCAGGGCCAGGTTGTTCAAAGCTGGGTTAAGGCTTTTTGTCAACTATCTGATGATTGAATATTCTAAAAAGAATAGAGATTTTTTTAGAAAGGGTTTTGAACAGATAAATAGTGCTGATCAGCCTTTGAACAACTGGGACCAAGAAAATATCACACATATTCATTAATGGTGGAGCTTGCAGAGCATAGCCCCATAATTATACAGAATGGTAGTAGTAACCCATCAAGCTGAAAAAATTTGGACTTATGACTGTACGCGTGTCTGTACAAGGTGCTACTTTTAGCATGCAAGGTCAACTGTACTGTGGGCACACCAACACCACGGCTTTGTCCAATAGCCCAGTGGTCAGTGCACTAAGCTCTGAGTCGAAGGACCCAGGTTCTAGTCCTGGCTGGGGCAAGGCATGGTGCCCTTGAAATGTGCAGGAAAAAAAAAATGTGAGCTCCACTTTTAGGCTTTGCTAAATCCAGGGGCGGATCCAGGAATTTTTGATTGGGGGGTCCAAACTTTGGTTCAGAAAGGACTGTTGGACCGAGGCAAATTACTTCTCCCCCACACTCCCCTCCCACCAGTCGTGGTTGCACATTATATTCCTTGGCCGCTTACTATTTACTTGGATTCATTAAAAAATCAGCCAGTTAAAAAGTGATATACGATCCTGTCGATGTAAGAATTTCAGTCTCAAATTTGTAAGTGTCAGGTCTGATAGGAGGTCCGGATCCCCCGGACCCTAACCCTGGATCCGCCACTGAAATCTATATATTATATTAAGAAATAAAAGTTTTTAACTTACCAAAATTGTCTTTCAGATCTTACAGATGAAAGGGTTAATTGCATGTCAAACAGTCTACCAAAAAGTTGCCTAAGATTTTTAGGAGATTGGTTAAAATGACTTAATTGACTCCCTCGCCTAATTTACATTGTTTAGGCTTATAGGCAAGCCTAATCAATTTTCCCCTCAAAATAGGCTTTTACCAGAATCTCTACTTCACTTTCTTTACTAGAATTTTTTAACTCCTTTTCTTCACCTCTTTTCACTAGAAAATCCCATAATATGGGATGAAAAACAATTAAAGAGTGTTACAGTTGTTGGGAGAACAACCTTCAATGCAAACTTAGTCCCAAAAACAGTTGAAAGTAAACAATAAAGAACAATCATGTACAGAGATAAGAATTTCCCTAACTTTTTCAAATGTTTTCTCACAGGCTCTAATTTGTCACATGCAATATCAAAGAGGTCCTTGGGGATATACTGTTTGTATCCTTTAGTGTATTCTTTCATTTCATCTCGATGATGCTTTTTACAGACATCAAACAACACACGTAAAAGGTGGAAATAAGTGTTGGTAAATGAGCTGTACAATGTCCAAATGCAATGGCAAATAAGTACATTTATGGCCACAGATGACAAAGTTTCAATGAGAAACTTCATACCAGTAATTAACAAAATGTTGGAAGCAATCTGCAGTGATAAGGAGCAGCAGTATGAAAAATATATCACCCAAACAATAGAAAGACAAAGAAATACAAACTCAAAAAAGAAAAACACTGCTTTTACAAGCTTATTCTTAAACCATTCTATTCTTGAACCCCAAAATCTTAACCAGTCAAAGGTATACCAACAACCTCCAAAACAAAAAGAAACAATTGGTAGCGAAACAATGGAGTCTACAACAGTCATAATTATGAATAGAGCTAATTTAAGTAAAGACAATAGAACCTTTCCCACAAAGGAAACTAGATTTCTACATACATCTCTCCAGTTTCTAGAGAGAGAACTTCCTTCAAGAATTTCAGGTTCACCTTCCCAATTCCCAGAGAATAAATTTACTACTAGAATTTCAGATGCATCTTTCCAGTTTCTATCCAAAGTTTCAAAACCAAATGATTGAAAATTCTGTTGGATGTTATCTGGAATACTACTATCCTTGGAAGAATCTGATGGATCTATTTCATTACACTCATCACAAGCATGCCAGTAGTTGCTGGGGGACAAGGCTTGAATAACCTCACAAGTTTTAAGAAAGCATGTTATGTGTTTCCTATGAATGAAACTGGGAACCCTGGTTGAGGAAGAGGGCTTAAAGATCACACATAACATTCGCACGCCAAAACAAAATGCACAAGCACATAGGCCTGGAAGTTTTTTGAAGGCAAAGGAAAACACTGACTCGATCAGGTATGGTGGGGACAGATTGGTGAAAGCTTGAGAGAACAGTCTTGGTACCCCAAGGACAAAAACATCTGTACATAGCAAAACACCTACGTGAGACATGATCAAAATAAAAATCTCAACAATATGATAACATATTCTTTTCCATTTTTTTCCAGTGGGTTTGGCCTTGTGCAAGAAGATACAATTTGCAATTAAGCTTCTTATACCTATAGGGCTAGCTGGTTCACCAACATCAATCACATCAAGACAAAAGCCATCCATCTCGCTTTCAGCTGCAAAGTAAGTTAATTGTTGAGAAGAAGCAGCTGCCTTGTCCTTGGAGCCTTGTTCCACAGCAGAGGGTCCAGGGGAGTTATCTTCTGTAGACATAAGCCAGCTACCGGCACAAATTTTCTCAACACAAATTTCCTCAACACAAATTCCTATATCGTCGTGTTCTCGTGGTTGCTTTTTTGTATTCTGGTAACTTGGGCTCTCGCCTTTAGCATGATAGTCACTTTCCTCCGGCTGCTTGCCCAAATGATTTTCACGTCTTAATTTTTTCAGAGTGGGACAAAACAAAGTTAACACTTTAGGACTCCATAAGATATACGCTATCCCAATTAGGAAGATTAAGACGTAATACAATGATGTGAGCGTAAGTTCGTGGTCTTCGGACACATTGCCATTCGAAAAACCGGCAGAAAGATGGTAGTTTGTAGCCAAATAAACGTAACCAAAGAAAGGCATATTCCAGCTTTGATTGTCAAAAGAAATGTGGAAACGAAGCGAGCGTAGAACGTTGAGTCCATTTGAAACAGCCATTACAGTTTGGTTTAACGCGGGTTGTAGAAGACAGGAGACATTTCGTATGAAAGTTTCGTTGATTTCCTCTGTCTGAAATGTTTGTTCTAAAGCTGCCAGGGTGATAAACCGGACTAATCTGAATCCATGATCAAAATAGTGTTCTTTACTTACAGGTAAAACGAAGACATAACCCGTTGTGGTCGTATTATGAATGTTGTTAGCCACGCACTTTTGATGGACAAGGTAGCTTATGTTAAGCCGGATCTCCATCTTGCGAGCGGTCGGGGAAGTTTTACCTGTACTCGTAGAAAAACCATTCGCAGCGTGTACCATCTATCGACGAGTAAACTTCCTTGACGTTTTGCAGCAAAACTAACACGGTAATGACCATACACAACATCTTGACTATGGTCTCAGGAGTGAATCAAATTCTCTTCCGCTTTCGACTGGGAAGGAGGGTGTCGCCGAATCTAGACAGAGTCCGCTGTCGCTGGCTAACTCGATATCAATCGAAGAGGACTGTAATCTATCTTCTTTTCCAAGATTTATTCTCAACGTACACCGCCGACGTTCTAACAATTTTTTTTAACAATTCCAACAATTCCAACGAAACAGTTCAGACGATTCTATCATATTCTCGCTATGTAAACGTTCAAACGTTCAAGTAAATCTAATGTAATTACAATCTACTGTGGTATTCATAGTCTGCCTTGCGTGACTACAAGCCAGTGTTTTTCCAACAGTCACGAGTACAGTAAAATCCCAAGCCAACCTATTGTAATATGTCTATATTTCATTCTTTCTACCCAATAGCAAGTTTCCCATTCCTTATTAGGCGGACTAAACACCTGCTATAATTTATACATCAAAATTATGCAATAAAAATATGGGTCAACGTGAGAGCTAAAGTCCATCGTACCTCTTTACCTGGTCCATTAATGAGATTTAGCATAAGGACGAAACGTCATTTCAGAACGGGAGAGAGTAGCCTGCGAACAGGCTCCCGGCTTGGAGGTGCACAACGGCGCGTCTGATTGAACGGGGAGCCTGTGCGCAGGCTAGGGAGAACGCGGAGAATAGTCTGGACACGACTCCATTTCGATTTCCGGTGTTATCGTTGCAGTTCCCCAACAAGTTCAGGACGTCATTTCGCTAGTTTTCGCATCCCGATCAGAACGCCTGGGATTTACGTAAATCGTGCACTTGTAAACGAGATAATATTGTTGGGAAGTACTTCAAAACTCATTTCCAGGGTAATTAGGTCCATTTCTTTGATTAATTTACCGCTATTTCTGCTGGATTCCCGTAAGAAAATCGAAACATAAACGTTAGCAAGCGATCCTAGATTTCAGGACTCAGTTCGCTTTTAAGTGAGCGAGGCTTTAGGCAATAAAAGGGCTCCTTTAATACATCTCTTTAAGCCTACATGAAAACTCTAAGGAAGATGCTGATAAATCAATTTCGTCGTAAATTAATTTATCATATCAAACAATACCGCGCGCTCCTAATCACCTGATTACGTGTTTTATGTGCCGTACAGGATGCGCAGTGTAATACTGAGAAATCCTGTGCAATGAGTGGTGACGTTCCGGGCGAAACGAAAAAAAAAAAACCATTATTTTTGAAGGAGAGGGTAAATAAAGAGCGGAAATAAAAGAAGAAGAAAACAAACAAACAAACAAAAAAACAAAACTTGTAACCGCTGGGATTGACCCCAGGTCCTCTCGTTCTAGAGGAGAGGCGCTATCTGGTCCCAAGTTTTAGAGTGTTTCTAGGCGATAACATTAACGTGTACCTGTGAGTAGACTTCGTCGATAAAACATGACNGATCCTAGATTTCAGGACTCAGTTCGCTTTTAAGTGAGCGAGGCTTTAGGCAATAAAAGGGCTCCTTTAATACATCTCTTTAAGCCTTCATGAAAACTCTAAGGAAGGGATGCTGATAAATTAATTTCGTCGTAAATTAATTTATCATATCAAACAATACCGCGCGCTCCTAATCACCTGATTACGTGTTTTATGTGCCGTACAGGATGCGCAGTGTAATACTGAGAAATCCTGTGCAATGAGTGGTGACGTTCCGGGCGAAACGAAAAAAAAAAAACCATTATTTTTGAAGGAGAGGGTAAATAAAGAGCGGAAATAAAAGAAGAAGAAAACAAACAAACAAACAAAAAAACAAAACTTGTAACCGCTGGGATTGACCCCAGGTCCTCTCGTTCTAGAGGAGAGGCGCTATCTGGTCCCAAGTTTTAGAGTGTTTCTAGGCGATAACATTAACGTGTACCTGTGAGTAGACTTCGTCGATAAAACATGACCTTTCTTTCCCAAAAGGTAAAATACAAAGTCTTTTTGATCATGAACAATGATACCAAACACTGGTGTTTATGATTACATAATTCATGGGATTAATTTAATAATAAATTTGAGTTTCCTACAATCTTGCACATCTGCAAGTTTGTTTGTTTAGCATAACGCACTCACTTGATTTGTATAACTTCAGTATAAAAAAAAAGAAAAAAAAAAAAGGAATAAAGGTACCTCCTGAGGGGTACAAATTAGGTTAACATAGCAGCTAACTCATGACACTGGCCATGTCAAACATGACAGTCCTTTCAGAACCTGAACAAGCTCTTGAACAACATGCAGGGCAACAAATGTGTCTTTTTGAGAGTACAAGGATAGGCTTTGAAGAAGTTACACAACAGACATATTATCATAATAAAAATAATTTTAAGGGGTTTGCTGCAAACTGTTTCTTTTACTCTCTTTTGGGTCTCATATTTCCTTCAATATCTAATGAGTGATCCCTCCAGGAAAAGTTAGTTTTGCAATCTCTCAAGTCTCCATCTTTCCCTCAAAAAATTGTAAAAACAAACTAGGAAACTGTTTGCCACTGAGTCAGAATTAAGTTTATGATGTCCTTATACTCCTTTATTTTACATGGTACTATTAGATTTGAACAATCTTCTTCTGTAACGTTTCCAAACTAAAAAGTAGGTATATAAAATATTTCCATTCTTACTTCAAGATGTGATTAACAGCATGTAGACAATATAGCCTTCTTATTTCATCACCATTCTGAAAGGTGCGGCTTGAGAAGTAAACATCCTGTAAGAAAGAAGAACATATCAAAATCTAAAAAGGCTCAAGAATTCTCTCTCCTGTAAGCTCCATTTTTCCACATTCTTATTCTCTTACAAAAAAATTTAAAAGTGAAAAAGGGAGCTCTAATACTGATATTCTGCAGGTCCTTGGTAATTTATGCAAACATTTCAATAAATGTCATAATCATAATTTTTGGTATTCAGTGGTCAAATTTCTAGCAGCTGTATCTTGTTCCACTGCAAACCTTTATCTATATTCTCATTTGTTATTTACAGTGCATCTACTGATCAGAAGGAAAGGCCAATTAAAAATTAAAAAGCAAGCTGGGAGCAGAACTGAAACAATATATGCCAACATTTTCAAATCTAACCACTGAAACAACAGATACAAAACAATGAAATTTCAATTTTTTTATTGGCTAAACCACCGTCTATTTATCACTTCCCCATTCTGACAGAATATAGGAGTCATTTTGTTTTGGTCATTTCTTGAAAAACAAAGTACAATTCAACTGAAAAAGGACAGAGAAATGTGTTCAAATTACTGTATATGTCAAATCCAAAAACTTTGCACCAAGCCCTCTATTTTTTGACAAGCCTTTCACTAACCTTATATGCATTGATATGATAAAAAAGATCTTGCTGAAGTGGAGAAAACAACCCTGAAAAAAGAACTCTAAATTTAAAATCAAGTGATTTCAAAAGTTTTCATAATAACAATAGTTCATCTTTATTGAGGATGCCAACATCACAAAAAAGTGGTTTACAGAGGGGTCCTCGAAAGGTAACTACATAAAATATAATTACTTAAAAATAAAAAGAATAAAATACATATCGAAAAATATGANACCCAAAAATTATAAAGAAATCTACAATTAAAGGTACATTTGTTAAAGTCAACCCCATTCTCTCACAGCCCCACCCCTCTAGTAAAGCCCCAATCAACAGGATGGAAACAAAGAGTTCTCCTAGAGGTCATTGTGACTCACAAAATTATCATCACCAATTGGCTATTATGAGCTTGAAGGTTACATGTAAAATACTTCTGAAAGATGAAATGTGTTTAAAATAATTTATTACAAATGGTGTACCTTCAGAGTTAGGTATCTTATTGATTGCCTGCCATGAAAGAGCAAGTCTGGACTTTATCTGGAGAAGTAAATTAGGTTTATCACTAAGGCAGCTATAATTTAATTTAATGATTAAAAATACTAGCAAAACTGTTTTAAGTGGTCACCCACAGGAAATGGTAGTGTGACCAATTAATACAGGTTGAATGCCTAATGTAGGGGTATTATAAAAAAAAAATTGTAAAAGATGTCATTTCCTGCCATAATGGCACACTTCATGTACAAAAACTCACTCAAAACTACCACTAAAATTAATTGCAGGAGGTAAACATGAATTAAATTTTACTTAAAAGATTCTTCTTGGTTTTGTTTGTATTCAATACAGGTGAACAACAATACAAACAAGCCCCTGGCACTCAGTTGTGGGTGACCTCAGCTGACAAAGAGAGGTGACTACTTTAAAGAGGCAAAAACTACAGCAACTACGGGGGAAAAAGTTTGGGATTCTGAAAACCAACTGCTTAATAGAGGGTGACCACTCAATATAGTTCCACTTATAATATTATAGGAGACAAATTACTCCTTAATTTTGGCGCAAAATTTCAGCGTTAATTTTTAATTTCACATGTGAAATTACAAAATTGCTATGGTAACAACTCTTGTATCTCCATCAGAGCCAAGATGCCGTCGAGATTTAAGATGGTGACCCTTGAAGAAGTTACAAAATCAAAAGTGGCCGAAAATTATTAACAAGCACAAAGAATTCGAAAGGTATTTTTTGTGAAGAAAATAATGTATGCGTCGAAAACTATATTCTTCTTCATGTTCTCAGTTTTTGATAAATTAAACCAGTTAAAAAAATTATGGTTGTGAACGTAATTTGGCACCCACAATATTAAAAGGTAATCAAATGGTTTTCTCGTGAAATTAGGATATAATTTCACTTGTGATTTGTCAAAATTCTGATGATTTCCCTCGCCTAAAGGCTCGGAAAATTATCAGAATTTTGATGAAATGCACTTGAAATTATTTCCTAATTTCACTCAACGCCATTTAATTACACATACCAATACAGTACCAATTAATGCCTGTACTACTAGTCAACTCCTTAGCTTAGCCTCCTGAAAATGTAATATCTCCCAAAATATCAATAAATTATCCAACTGTCAAACAGATGACAAGAATATAGATGTACAAACCTATCAATTCAAAAGATATTACCAACATACTTCAAAAGAGATGTCACAATAATATTAAATTACCTTCAAATCCACAAATGACATTTCATTTTCTGTGCTTGTATCTAAGGTGGGTAAGCTTTCAGCTAATGGAATAACTTCCGTAACATTACCAAATGAAGGAATCTGAAAGGAAATAAAAGAATTGCACATTGGAATTGGTTAATTGTTTGGTCTGACGACTTCATAGTGATAAATCAGACAGCCCTTGATTAGCAGATGACCAAAGATCCCTGGCCCACCCCCTGTCACAAAATCAAAATGTTGATGATGATTGTAACTTTTAAAGGTCTGCTGGTTAACATTGCCAGTAGTGCTTTGGAAACACTTGCAGAGGAAAGGGTGCCTGAAATAAAGCCATCCTGAAGAGAACTTATGTGCAAGACCAAATTCTCCTTGCATCTTGCAGGAAATACAAGCCACTTTATCATGAGAGTTAATCAGTTAATCAGTCTATCAGCAGCTCAACTAGAACTTTTATGACTGTCTAATCCTGTAATTCTTAGGGGAAAGAATCATCTAGTATATCAACATCAAATCATCTACTTGAATGCCAAATGTTTCCTTAAATGCCATTTTCTGATTAAAAACAGCCCATCACAGAGGTGTCAGTGTAAACATTACTCACTTTTCTTGTTTTCTGTTTCCAGGTTCTGGGATCACTGAGGAGCTTCTCTGTAGTTTCAGAAAGATCTTGTTCAAAATGCACTGTAAATGGGTCTTGAGATCCTAAAGAGGAATGCACAATTGGTTCAAAATGTTAACCATTTAACGTCTAAGAGTGACTGGCATCCAATTTCTCCTTACAATATCACCCTAAAATCACACATTAAAGTGCCTATGACACGTATTTTTCTTCTATTCTACATCAAAATACAATCATGACTCTTGAACATGTTTTTCCAACATTTGTGGTATTTTTGCCCTTTTCTACATTTTTTTATCAAGCTCTATAATCCACAGATAAAATGTCTGGCCGAGTAAAGAGGGACTGGGCGCCATGATGTCACAGTAGGAATCTTGTGGAGAGACATATTCTTCAAAGAGTCAAGGGTATTCGAAAAACCCCAAACTACACATCGAAGTGGCATTTTTTGGCTAAAAAGATTGTAAACAGTAGCTTCCACACTCACTTTGCTTCTTTGATAAACTTGGTGTTACTACCGTTACCTCACGCATTCCAGTACTCTTTAATGCAGCCAAAGAGATATGGGGAGCCTAAGTTCGATACAACTTCGGACTTTATAGCCTCATTAAATAGCAAAGACACATCAGAATCACTCACAAATCTTACCAGACACCCTCTACATGCTTCTATTTATAAAATTTAATGATAAAAAATAGGTATCATAGGGAATTTATCCATTTGAACTCTAAAAGTGACTAGCATCCAATTTCTCCTTACAATATCACCCTTAAATCACACATTAGGGTGCCAAGAATAAAGGAAATTATCACCAATTAAAGAAGCCTGGATTGTTGACTAAAACCTCCCTATTAGCACCTTAGGAAATCCATAGAGAAAAGTATGGAGAATATGCATACTGATGATAGGGTGTGAGGGATTAGGCCTCATTATTCAACATCAGCTTTCAGTTGTGAGACTTGGCTTAGGCTTAACAACTCAAAAATGTCCTTAACCACTTGGTGCTAACCATGATTCTACCAGAAAAAAATATTCCTTTTAAGCTTTGTGTCATTGGCCTGTAAGACTATTTTTCCCCTATCAGTCACTGCTAAATGCTCCCATCCAGTAATTAAGCTGCCATTTTGGCTTGGTAATATAGAGGAAAGCCTGAAGCAAGCTAACAACCCAGTGATGAGAGAGGGGAAGTTGGCTGTTTGTTTCTCCATACATCCGTATTTCTTTCTTACTACAGCCTCCCTATAATTTATAAAAGAGATTTCCTCAATCAGTGGTAAAATAAAAATTATTTTAGCCAGGCAACAAAGCAAGTCAGTTACATACCTGCTGAAGACTTTCCTTTCATTTCATCAGCATCATTGCTTTCATCTCTTTCCTCCTCATCTTCACTTTCTTCGCCTGCAGCAGCTTCCATTCTGTAATCATCAGCTGTGCTTTCAGTGTCATCAACCCCATTCTCCTCATCGTCATCACCCTCACTGTCGTTATTGCCTTCACCATTTTCCTGTAAATTCAACATTTTTGCCGTAAGCTTCATTGACTTCATCATTCTCAACATTTTCTGAAGTATTTTTAGTTAGTCATAACATCGAGACAAATGTACTTGTTTTACAAGCAACAATTCACCCTGAAAAAAATGCACCTGACAAGCATCCTAGTGAGGACTTCACTTACAGGCAATCTTTCATTGTGTGGTGTCAATTCCTATAATTTAACATCATCTTCTGCACCCATAATCACCCTTCTCAAGAGTTGGGAAATTTTAAGTATACAGCTAAACTCCTAACAGCCACAGGAAACATCAGTGATTATAGTATGTTTTGCCGCAGTGTAAAGAAACACTTAAAAAAATTTAATAGGTTATGATTCTATCAACATGCAAATGAGGTGTACATGATAGTCAATAACATTTTATATTAAGTTGAAGGTATATTTAATGTCTACAAGTGAGGAACCATTTTTATTTGATGGAGATTATGTGAATAGACTATTACTATTATTATTATTATCTTGTAGATACCAATTATGCTTTGCTACTTATGACAATAAAATCTTGAAGAGGGTACCTGAAGTTTTCCAACAGCTTCTGCATCTCCATTAACTTGTTTTTTAGTCTCATCTACTTCATCCTCATTTTCACTCTGTCCCATTTCCTCTTCAATTTCTTCCTCTTCATTTTTGTCACTCTCATCATCCCTCCAATTCCCTTTCAACTCATTGCCATATGATCCAGGACCTGCACCTAATGATTTGACCAGCTCCAGAAAGGGATTGCCAACACCCTGTTCACCATCTGAACTATCTGATTCATTGTTCTGCAAATAGCAAACAACAAAGTGTTGATAGTGAATGGCTTGCAATGTTCTCCAGAAACACTACCGTTAGAATTTTCAACAGCTGTAATATTTGTGCATATAAAAACGAAGTGTTTGGCATGTTCAGGGTTCTTGGATTAAAATCTTCCCCATTTTGTTTCCCGTGTATTGTTATCCAGATGGAGAATTGAGAAATGAACGAAATGAAATGAGGAAGACAACTGTTCAATAACACTCAAACTGTCTTTTTAATCCAAGAACCTTCAAACATGCCTAACACTTCATTTACATGTGCACGAACATCTTTACACCAGTTATTTGTTTGCAAAGCACTAGCTACTTTAATACGACAAAATAGTGAAACACTTGTCTTGTCCTAAAATAAATTCCACCCTTTGCTTTATTTTTAAATATAACCAAAAAGATTGATTAAACTATAGAGAAGACAAAAGGTAAAAGCAAAAAGGAACTGATGGCAGAAGAAAAAAAAAAATGTTCATGCTCTAAGGGCACTCTTTTACTTAGTCCTGGCTGCTGCTTTTTTATTGCAGGCTACAACAAAATCCTTGAAGAACTCTTGGATTGAACCAGGGGGTTACCTACTGTAGAACTGGGCATTTTCAATAATGGCTACATAGGTTCTTATAGCATCAGTCAAGGATACAAACTTCAAGAACTCCACAAAGGGGTGGACACTATCCTTTTTATGTGGCTTAAGAGTGCAAATGTACTGCTGAACCTCGGGAATTGGACATCCTCTGACTCAAAAAAGTGTCCATTTGAAACAAGTGACACTTGTGAGAAATTAGAATTCAGAGGTTTATATAGAGCTGGCAGCTGTAGAATATTTCATACAGGAAGAGTAAATTGATATAAACTCCACTTCATCAGCACTGCTGGCAGGAGTAGTTTTAATTTTAAAGAAATAGGAGAGTTAAGACAAAATTCAAGAACAAATATAATTATAATTTACTCAAGAACAAAGGATAGGGAGCCATTCTAAAGGGTGGGACTTTACAGCATCGCTGAAGAACCTTCTAGTGCAAGGATCTCTCGGATTTTAATGTCCTAATGTAGATATCTATGCGATGAAACATTACCCAAAAACCACTATCGTCGATCCAAATCAGAGTGCATAGCATATGATCGAGACATGCTATACTTACAACTTTCGACTAAGGGCCGCCACGCCATAAAGAAACACTATGTTACCTTCGTAAGACTGAAATCCTTCTTCGGTTTCTTAACTAGAATCCCATCTTCACGGCTAAAGAACATACAAAAGCAACAGAATCACTGGGAAATACAAATTACAGTTGCACGTGGGCATCATAAACAAACCTTTTCAGCACTCAAACACAAATTGCAATAACACCTACTCTGTATCGTTCGAATGTGATCCTGCACACTCTTTAAGATTTCGCTTTTTGCCTTTCGATTTCTCTTTAAATTCGTTCTTTATCCGGCGTTGTTTTCTCTGGTGTCCTTTTCGGCCTTTCGCCATTTTGAAACTGAAGGAGCTGGGTACCAACTTTTTTGAAAAATTTCGACAGTTCGGCGTCTGCTCGTGGATCATGTTCGTTTTGCGTCGTGTTTGTTCGTGGCGCACTGACCCTCTCCGAAGAGGTAGATCATGGCTGCGACTCGGACTGAGCCAGGAACTACTTCTGTCAGAGTAGGAGTCCTAACAGTTAGCGATAGATGCTCTCGCGGAGAGGCTGAAGATAAAAGTGGGCCCAATTTGCAGAATTTAGTGAAGTCCTCTACCTTGAATGTCAGTAAGGTTCTCTATGAATGTGTCCCTGACGAACGGGACGAAATTAGACGAGTTCTTTTGAACTGGAGCGATGTTGAAGAATTACACCTCGTGTTCACGACAGGAGGCACGGGATTTTCTCCAAGAGATGTCACCCCTGAGGTTACAGCGGAAGTTATTGAGAGATCTGCTCCGGGACTCTCATTGGGAATGCTGTGCGGATCCTTAAAGGTTACCCCGATGGCTATGCTGTCCAGGGCTACCTGTGGTATAAGGAAAGGAACAGTGATTGTTAATTTGCCTGGAAGTGTTAAGGGCTCACAGGAATGTTTCCAGTTTGTTTTACCAGCTTTACCACATGCAATAGAGGTGCTGAGGAGTAGTCCGAATGTGGGTGTCACACATGCAGCAATGCAACATGTCTGTCCACACACGGCTCACAACAAACCTGTACAAGATCTAAGCAAGGTGGCAGAGAGGGATCGCCATTCCCCATATCCACTTGTACGGATGGATGAAGCCCTCTCTATGATCATGAACAATTCTAACTGCCTTTCAACAACAGTTATACCCATAGAAGATGCTTTGGGTTATGTACTTGCATCAGATGTGAGTGCAAAAGAACCCCTCCCTCCCTTCCCTGCCTCAGTCAAAGATGGATATGCTGTGTTAGCTTCAGATGGACCAGGGGAACGTGTGGTCCTGGGCGCAGTCACTGCAGGGGAAGTCGTGGCATGTAAGGTCACTTCTGGCCATGTGATGCGCATCAACACTGGTGCACCACTGCCACCCGGTGCTGATGCAGTCGTTCAAGTAGAGGATACAGAACTACTTGAAAGTGATAATGATGGAAGAACTGAGAAGAAAGTTAAAATTCTTACAACTCCTAAACCTGGCCACGATATCAGACCAGTTGGTTTTGATGTGAGTGTAGGACAGCAAGTACTCACAACATATCAAAAACTAGGACCAGCAGAACTAGGTCTTCTGGCTTCTTTGGGTGTCACCAAAGTTGAAGTTTTCCAAAAGCCAAGAGTCGCTGTGCTTTCTACTGGAAATGAGGTTGTCAATCCAGGAGAGGAAACCAAACCAGGGCAAATCAGGGACAGCAATAGGGTTGCTTTAAAGTCACTGATTAAAATGCATGGATTCGAGCCCCTTGATTTAAAAATAGCAGCAGACACACCCTTGGAGGTGGAATCCTCTCTTAAAAGTGGCTTGGAGAAGGCAGATGTTCTTGTTTCATCTGGTGGAGTATCAATGGGAGAAAAAGATTTTCTGAAACCAGTTCTACAAGACAGACTTGGAGCAACTATCCATTTTGGGAGAGTTTTCATGAAGCCAGGCAAACCAGCAACCTTTGCCACAACCACAAATGGTGGGAAGAAAAAACTTATATTTGCCCTTCCTGGAAATCCAGTCTCTGCAATGGTCACTTTCAACCTGTTTGTTCTTCCAGCAGTGCGCAAGATGGCTGGCTCACAACACCCCCAGCTAACAAAGATCAAAGCAAAGTTGCCTCAGCCTGTAAACCTGGATCCAAGACCTGAGTATCACAGAGTCACCCTGTCTTGGAAGCCAGGAGAAGCTGTTCCATCAGCAGTATCTACAGGTAGTCAGTGCAGCAGTAGGTTAATGAGCATGAGGAGTGCTAATGCAGTGCTTGTGCTGCCACCTAAGAGTGACACTCTAACCAGGATTGATGCCGGAGAGATGGTGGATGCATTGGTGATAGGGGAAATCTAAACAACTGAAGTGTGAAAATAAGAAATAATTATATTGATATTTCCGTGTAAAATGTGCAAGGTAATGGTAATGTGGTAATGTGGTATAGAACAACTACATGCATCAATTAATGCTGAATAGCCCATTTCCAAATTGCTTTTAGCCTCTTTTTCAAAGCGAGTCCTGGTGCTCATCCTTTCGTATGGTAATAAGTTTTCATTCACATGCAAATTAAACTCATTTTCTTTCGTATGGTTGAGCACCAGGCCTCATTTTGAAAAAGAGGCCAAAGATAATTCGGAAATGGCCTATTACGAGTTGTTAAGGATGAGATCAGACTTCTGCATTTTAGGAGCCTCTGGCAGCTGCATCAGTCCATGTATGGATCTCACCTTAGATGATTTTTTTCAACGAAAAGTTTTATTCCTTGTCTAAGATTTCACTCAACAAACGATTGAGGTGGGCAGCTCAGCCTTCAAACTTGGCAGCTCAATATGTTTGAGGGGAAAAACAGAGAGACTTATCACATAAGCATGTATTTTAAACTTGTAATCTTACTACAGTTTTATAATCTAAATGTAGGAACTTTTAATACCCAGAATGAATTACTTTCTGTGAAAAATAACTCAGATTCATATTAGGAATGACAGACATAATCAAGAGGGTAGCACTACTAGTGTTAGCTTGAACTAATGTTGTCTTGAGCCTAGCCAATCACAAAGACAAATACATACTTGTGTGCTGGAATCTCTAATATATTGTTCAATGAAATATAGGTAATACTTTGAATCATGCGGTACCTTTTTTTCAGTGAGGATACTTAACTAGGTTCATTTTTTATTAATTTCTGTCAAAACCAGAAAACTGTGAACCTTTTGATTTGATTCTGATGAGAACCGACCAATCACAATAAAATTCAGTAAACAAGCAAACATCAAAACCACAAACCAATTACTGTTACTTTTGGTGGTTTAATCCCTTATTATCTCTTTCTTTGAAATGCAATAACTACAACTTTCAATCAATGTTTCCTGTGTTCTTTGTTATCGTGACACTTCTTTTCTTCATTTCTTAGTTGTAGCCCCCAAAATTATTCTAATCCTTGGAAACAAACTCAACTTCAATTATTTTAAGGGGTAAGTTTCTTAAGAAACTGTGGGTGCTGTACTGTTGGAGGGGTATAGTTCAAATCAAGGGTAGTTTTATTTAATTTTTTTTCTTCCTTTCCACTCTCATTTTTTAGCTTTGTACACACACATTTAGGAACGTGGAGAACCTGTTGATATTTCAAAACCTTTCTCAAGTAAAATTTTAAGGCGCAAAACTCGCTACCCGTCCCTCCCTAGCGATATGGATGTTTAGTCTGCGCAACCCACAGTACGCATGTACGTGTCGTAAACTAAAGCTTTTCGTCTTCCGGTGAAGCCGGCGAAGTTATTGAAAGAAACAGGATGAGTAATTCGTTAGGACTTTTTCTCGGCGGGATTTTCGCTCTTGTCGTCGCAGGATACATTGCTCAAAGTCGTCTTCCACCTCCCAAACCTAGAATTATCGGCATAGATTTAGGAACGACATTTTCTTGTGTAGGGGTTTACCAAGCAATCACAGGACATATTGACATACTGGCGAATGAAAACGGCACTAAAGTTATTCCAAGCGTTGTTGCCTTTACTAATGAAGGAGTCTTGGTGGGAAAAAGAGCCTTAGATCAAGCTGAACTGAATCCAAGATCTACGATATACGATGCAAAGCGATTTATTGGAAAGACGTTTACGAAAGAAGACTTAGAAAAGTTGTCCTCTCTCTACCAGTTTAAAATCACTTCTGACGAAAAGAACAATCCGAAGTTCGTGGTCGAAAGTCATGGCAACGTTACTTTAGTTTCGCCAGAAGAGATTGGCGCAGCTATTTTAAGGGAGTTGAAGATAACTGCCGAAAGAAATATCACTAGGGCAGTGAATCAAGCTGTAATGTCGGTGCCAGCAGAATTCAATATGGCACAAAGAAATGCAACGATCAGGGCTGCTGCTCTCGCTGGGATCAAAGTTGTACGGCTCATAAATGAGCCCACAGCGGCAGCAATGGCATATGGACTTCATAAAAAGGAACGAGTTTCTAATGTCATGGTCGTTGACTTGGGTGGTGGCACACTAGATGTTTCATTGCTAAACATCCAAGGGGGGATGTTTGTAACTATGGCCATGGCGGGTAACAACCGTCTTGGTGGTCAAGATTTCAATTCAAGACTTATGTCTTACCTTATGGCTGTCATAAAAGATAGGTTTGGTGAAGAACTTACAAATGCCGAAGACATACAGCGTCTAAGACAAGAAGTTGAATCAACGAAAATTAACTTGACGACAGAGGGAGCAGTGGTAGTGAAACTTCTTTTGCCTTCTCTGAATCATAGAGACAAACATGTTATTTTCGAGGAAACAATCACAAGATTGACTTTTGAAAAGTTGAATGATGACTTGTTTCAAAGAGTACTGCAACCTATTCAAAGGGTTTTAAAAGAAGTTGATCTTCCAAAGGAATATGTTGATGAAGTGGTTCTAGTTGGAGGGTCGACAAGGATTCCCAAAGTGCGGCAGATTATTGAAGAGTACTTTGACGGAAAGAAACCTAATGTTGCCATAGACCCAGAGCTGGCAGTAGCCACTGGGGTGGCAATACAGGCTGGCATTATTGGTGGAATGTGGCCTCTTCAGGTGTCAGCCTTGGAACTTCCTAATCACAATCTCAGAAAGATTCAGATTGAGTCTTAATTTGTTGATGATAATCTTTTAGACTAATAGAACCAAAGAGATCATAAACTTATTACAGAAAGTACTTTTATCATTTAATGGAGATACACTGGCAAAAACAACTAAGCAAAACTTGCCAATCACTTGAAACAACTTCTTTACCAGATCCTGAACATCATTCAGACACCAACAGCAGAATTGGCTGCATTTTTCCTTACTAATTATCACACATTTCAGTTCATCTAAATAGTATACATTTGGTAAAAGCCATCCGGAGGAACTCTAATATTGTAGAAATTTATGCAAGCATGGCAATTCAGAGAACTATAAATCTTTTTGGGTAATCAAGATTTATAATAAAGTATCAATGAAGCTATTCCCTTTGTAAAGTAAAAAGTTATTTAATACTTAGGCACATTCCATGAGCCAAAAGTCTGTTGTTAGATTGTCCACTTCACAAGTCTCAATTTTATTTATTCTAAAAATTGAATTTCTGGCAACCAATTATTATTTTTATAGAGGTTTAAAATCATAAAAAATTTTACTTCAGAACAATACTTATTAAAAAGAGTTTTCAGTTTCTAAGAAATGATACTTAAATCATATCAGATAGTGATGATAATATAAAATTTCTCTCACGCAGGTCATGAGAGTTTCAGGAATACTCACACAATTGGCCATGATAAATGAAATTTGAAAACAAATTTTCCAGGGCTGTAAACAGTAAAACCCTTCCAAAAAAGTTGCCATGATTGTTCCTTGAGATTTTGATGTAACTCTTTTTCCTCATGCCACATGGTAACAAATTGTGAATCAAGTGCAACATATATGTTTTATTTAACAAAGACAGTGAGTTATGTAATTTGAAAAATTCTATGACATTCACAGTATGAAACTCTGATAGTGTGACTTTGCAGAGTTGCTGTTGAAATTATTTTAAATTAATAATTTCCCCTCTTAAGTTGAATGTATTATCCAATATACAGATAACAAGAATGGACAAAGGTTTTAGCTGTAAGGTGTTACATCAAATCATGATAGAAAATTTATTTCCTAAATTAAAAGAGAATGTTTCACAGCTAGAAGGCTGTTCAAGGGACTTGAAACAAATACTTCTTAGAAAAGCTACTGAAATGCCAGAAATCAGAGAGAACATCACGTTACATCCTCTGAGAGAATATTTCGTTCAAATTACATAAAATATATGTATATTATGAACACAGTGAGAAAACTTAGTGCATCACAAACTACAGGTAGATTTATCTCAAGAAGTTATGAATAAAAGAAGTTAAGACAGTTTTATTGCAAGTTCATATATATTACCCTTTTTTCCAATAAACTTTGGATGCTTTTAATACAGGGTTAGAATGCCTATGACTAGCATTAGAAAAACTACAGAAATTCTTGTTCATGCATTTGTTAGTTCAAAACTAAACTATTGTAACTCTTTATTGTATGGCCTCCCTAAGCATATGATAAGTAGTTTGCAGTCTGTGCAAAACACGGCTGCTCATATCTTCACTTTAACCAAGAAATTTGATCATATCACCCCTGTATTGTTTCAACTGCAATGTTTAACTGTTCACTTTTGGATTCTTTTTAAAGTTTTATTGTTAGTTTATAAGGCCCTAAATGGTATGGCACCATTATATATCATGGAATTACTTAGTTATTGTACATGTTCACGTACGCTACGCTCTACTGATCAAAAATTTCTGGCTGTTTCGAAGTCAAGACTTAAAACATACAGAGACAGGGCCTTTTCAGTTGCTGCGCCTAAACTCTGGAAGGAGCTGCCATTAGATCTTAGAAGTTTAGATACAATTAATTTATTCAAGAAACACTTAAAGACCAATCTTTTTAAAAAAGCATATAATGTTTAACTTTTTGATAATTTGGAATAGGATTTATTGTGAAATTTTTATAAATAAGTCTGCAAATAGGTTTTTAATTTATTCATATTTTATTACCAGTGGGATCTTTTTAATTATTTTAATATTATGAATTGTAAAGCACTTTGGTCAATTAGTGGAGTTAGCGCTATATAAATTATGTTAAATTAAAATTAAATTAAACATTAGCGTTGTCATAATATACAACTGCTACCTTCAGATTTGGTCAGGTCCACTCTAGAGAATCCTGGCACTCTTAAGAAAAATTCTCACATCTTTGATAGGAGATAAGTTGGTAGGTATACATAAATGAAGATATACTTATTGGCAGGGAACCTTTCTGCACGAATGGTTTTGCAACTGAAGAAATACTGAGACAGTCATATGTCATAGATGGTGGTGATAATTTTTTTGTGAGTTGCGAAGGTCTAAACTTTTTTCAAAGGTGACTTGCCTTCTCCAACTGTATACTGTTACCATAACTTTAATATTTTAATATACTTTAATATATTTGGCATACTCAATTGCATTCAAGGTGGTTATAGGGATAACAAAATCAGTTCAGTTGGAAAGTAAATCACAACATTCTTCACAACCACATCGAAGCACTATGTACCACCTAAGTGTTCCATGAACTAATCCACAACATTCCATTCACCTCAAGCAAATAATTATTGTTTAATATGTTTGACGTGTGGTAATTTCATGACACAGACCACTGTCCTGTGACACTAAGTTTACTGTCCATCCTGGCCACAGGACCCTTACCAAGTCTCTTTCCTAAGACACTCAATCTGGACCTTGCTACATCCCAATCAATATATGCTGATTCCAAACATCTGCCCCCTTCCTCTGAAAGAGTGTACCCCTCCCTTCCATGAAGGACACGATCATTATCAAAAACAATCATCTCTCCTGGAGAAAGCTTGTGAAGGAACATATTTTTAGGATCTTTCAATCGCTTGGTTAAAGAATAGTAGGCTTTGTACATTTCATGGGTTTTTTCTACTGGCACACCCAAAAACTCCAGTCTACAGCCTTCATTGTGGTTGCATCGTAATAGTCTGCCATGATGATCTAACCTTAAAGATAACAAAAAATTAACTTCCCATTAATGTGATGAAGCAAACTGTAAGAGAAAAGCAACTAAATTAAGACTGTTCCTAATTACATAGGTAGATAGAAAGAGCAAAAAACTATGAGGTGATTTTGTTATTGATTTTCCATGCACGCTAGTGACATAAGCCAAGCAATAAAGATTGCTGACTAGAAATAACCTTCTGAATTACAACAAGTGAATAGATATGAGCAAAATTAATCTAAATGTTTATCATACTGTTCAGACTATTTATTCCTCTATTCTGTATTGTACTGTATTGTTTTTTTTTTCTTCTTAGTTGTATCTCGTTTTTTGTATTAGCCAATGCAATGTAATTTGTATATGTATGTGTGTGCATTAAAAAAAAAAAATTTGTAAAATAAAAAAAAAAAAAAAAAACTCTCGGTACCTTCCCCTATTAGCAAGTGGGATAGCTAAATGGTCAGAATTATGATTTGGGGTTTGATTTGAGGTGCCATCTCAAAACCTAACAATGCACTTCATGATTAAAATCCTGCATTAAATTTCTTTATAACACGACTCGGGCAGTCAGGGGGCCAATAACTAAAATCAACCAA